ACGTATATATGTATTATATATAATTATATATATATACTTATCTACATATACTTATATATATACACATTATATCTATTTAGATACATGTATATATTGTAGAAGAGAAAGATAGAGTCAAAGTCAAGTCGGTCTGGATCCAATGTTTCAGTGGTAAAACAAAATGGAACAGCTCCAAAAGACAGACCAGCTGAGCTGAGAATTCCACGATACTAAAGCGTATCAAGTGTGGGAATGGATGAAGATGGTACTTGTACAATGTTGGGCCCGAACATAACTACTGTAGGTTAACTACCTCTGGTTTATGTTAGATATCACGAAAGGTAGCCTCCCAACGGGCTACCTTGAGTTTTACTTTGCAAAGCAAGGGGGTGGGCTGGACCCCTTATCCCTGAACGACCAGGAGAAATGGACCCCCCCCCCTCTCCGCCCTCCTCCCCTCCCCAGATCATATGGTACCTTCCTGCAATTTGGACCGCGGATGATTTTCTGAATGACTCAACATCGTCATCATCATCATCATCATCACCATCACCATCACCATCACCATCATCATCATCATCATCACTGTCATCATCATTATCGTCATCGCTGTTATCATCGTCCTTATACGTTTACCCAAGCGCTCGGTTGTTTATGATTTATTAATGTTTTTGATGTTTATCTGATGATCAGATGGCCCATGATACCATGTTCGGAATAACTCCCACCCATGAAAGTCTAACTTGGATGGTAACTAGGCAGCAACTGTTTGAACCACGGCTATATTTTTCTGGATTCCTCTGATAATCTACGACACCAACGGATGATATTCATTTTCAACATGTGGATCATCTACAACAAGTGGAACAATTAGTGGATTTTTGATTGCCTTGTTATGGCATTCTGACGTTTAGCACACATGTGAGAAGGAAAAGGTCGGAGCCACTGATGATTTTGCACCATCAGGGATTTAGTGCGCCAGGGTTAGCATCGATTGAGTCAAGTGGCCCTGCATTATCATTATTATCATCAATATCGTCATCATGATCATCATCAGCAGGACAGGGCATCGACCATCTACCCTGCCATTTTATTATCATCATTCACCTGCGTCACCTGCGACACCACTGCCTTTCGTGTCCCCCCTTCTCAAGTAACTATAGTTCATGGGATTGATCAACCATATACTTCATGATTAGCTACTATATTTATATAAGCCATAAACTATACAGGTCAACTAACTATAGTTGGCTTCACTATAGTATTCATGGGATATATAAAAACCAACCAACATCACTGGGGCCGCAGTGACCTCCCATGCACCAGGACAGTGCTGCAACCAAGATTCAGGTGGCAACGAAGCATGCTGCTGTGGAAAGACCAGGGTTATGCCTAAGATTTGCACATAAAAAACATGTGTATACATAATAATAACAATAAGAATAATCATGATAATGATAACGATGATAATAATAATAACAATTATTGACAATAATAATATCTAATAAGGTTAAACATAATAAGAAACAATTGGTGCTGGCCAAAGCAGAGGGAAACCAAAACCTGTAAATGATGTTCACGTCCACATTTTATATGGCGGCCGAGAGCGCTCACTAGCTTGGGCGTGGCGTTTGTTTTCTTTATTGGTGATTTAGTTTATCAGCTTCTGAATCCTAGAACGACACAAATGTAGGTCAGGACATCATGATCTGGTTGGTGGTTGGAACATGAGTTTTATTTTTCCATTCAGTTGGGAATGTCATGCAGTTGGGAATGTCATGTCATCCCAACTGACGAAGTCCATCTTTTTTCAGAGGGGTAGGCTCAACCACCGACCAGTGATATATCATGTACATGCGTCGCATTCTGTGATGGGACTACCGGACTACCCCTGGTAAAACATCATCAGGACTGTTTGGGTGTCCCTTCGTGACTAGTGACTTGCAAGAGACCGTGTCATTTTTTGTGAATCGTGCAGGTTTATTGAGATACCCTCTGGTTATTTGTTACATAGCCATGGTATAGATGGCTCATAGAAATAGATGGTTTACCGAACTTTCAAGTGGTGATTTTCCATGGCTATGTTAAATAACCAGATTGTATCAAGAACGTTGAAGATTTCTTACTTCAAGGTACGTCCCGGAAATTGGCGAAGTTCATGGACCAGAAATCACGGCAGCTTTTTTGTTTGTTACAACTCCAACCCGAATTGCAACCGCTGGAGGCACAAGTTCGAGGAAATCAAGCACGACAGGCTCCAGCCGTGGTAACCATTTTGGACCTGGTGTCGGGCTGATCGCACGTGGAAAGGAACCGATGTTTCCTTCCGACCTGGCTAGTAGGTTCAAATTGAAAAAATGTTGGTAGTTTCAAGTTTTTGAAGGTCTAAATATGCTGAAATTTGATGATGTTTAATGAGCCATCCCTAAAACTGCCATGATCAGATGATCCTGAAAAACTACTGTAATATCATGCAATGTGGCCCCCCCTAGTTATAAGTTGGTTTATAGCCCCATGTAACTATGGTTATAACTATATACTATAAACCCTAGTTATTGTAGTTACAAACCAACTTAGCTATCTTGGGGGCCCCACATTGTGTAATATCCCTTGGGTGAAACCGACTAACCGTTACTAACCACATCTAAAGGATCTGGTTCTACAGGATCCGGCAGTAAAATCAATCCAAGTCACCAAAAAATGGTCACGGATGAGTTGGAACTCACTGTTCCTTTTTTGGGGTTGAAAAGAACTAGGTTTAAGATTGGTTTAAGTTATGTATACACGTTTTTGACCCTCCCTCTCTCTCTCTCTATATATATAATTATATATATAATTATATATATTTATATATATATATATTATATACATATACATATATATGTATATACATATAGATATATATGTATATACATACACATGTTTTCTGTTGTTTCACCACTTTTGGCGGTGCTAAAAAAATGGCTTTCTCTGTTTGGTCTTAATCGCGCGCTGCTTTCAGCACTGCTTTCCCCTTTGGTTGCAGGGAAAACCACCAGCACCGCCGCTGCCACCAAAGCAAGCAGGACAGGGTTTCAATTGGGCAGAGTTTGAAAACCCTCTTGGTTGATGATGAGTTCGGGATCATACTACCCAAATCTACCCATTTACCTATAATATATATATGTACATATAGAGGATCATCATATATCATATATCATCATCATCATCATCATCATCATCATCCATGAACTGGGAAACCCTAATTATTAATCATAATTATTAATCAACCAATAGATACAACGGAATGACAGAGGCTTTTGAACTGGTGTTTATTTGTCCAACGGGAAATCCACCAGAAATGAGTGAAGATTCTCGGAATTCTCGGGTCCAAAATTCCTTGAAAAAACAAGAATACGTAAATTTGTAGGGCTTCAAAAGGATAGCACACATCCCTCTGGACCTTCAAATCAAGTCCAAAACATCAAAATCTATTGAATGCCATTTGTTTCACGCCGCAAAAGGCCTTGCTTCTTTGGCCAAATTTGCGACCCAAAAGAACCGTCTTGTGCTAGCGTAGTAGCCTGGAAACCAATAGTTGTTCCAACGCTTGTGTCCATTCCATCGCACCATCAGAAACTGGAATGGTGAGCCCCGGGTGTCTAGTCATAGTTCTATCCCCAATTCTGTCAGCTTTAGCTACGTCCCCATGATATAGCTTGTTTGAAAATATGTTGCATTCCCCCAAAAAACTAATGGTTGATCATCATCATTTACCCCAGACAAGACATGGCCTATGTAGACAGGTGTTCCGGATCCCATTTTCAGGCCCACCCATACCTTGAGCATGCTATAGGAAAGTATGAATTGTGAAGTGGCACCACGGACGAACATCAATTGTGACCCGCGGCCATCCTTCTAGCAAGCCAAGTTTGATGTTGATATTTCTAGTAATTAAGACTCCTTTAGATATACTAAACTACTAGAGCCAGTCAATGGGTTTGTCCGAGAATAGAGTAGCCAAAAATCACGTGGTTTTATTTTCATTTATCCCATCAAAATGCAAGTTTTACGATTTTGGGGTATAATTACGCCCATTTTCAGACACACATACATCATCCGCATGACCCTCTGGTAATTTAACATATATATAGCTATTGAAGATCACCATGTTTCATTGGTAAATCACCACCCCATGCTCATCCATTTTCCATAGCTACTGTGGATGTTGGTCGATGTCTTATCCCATCATAATCCCATTGTTTACAGTGTTTCATAGTGACCAATACTTTCCAACTGGTGCAGGACGGCTTGTCCATCCACAGTATTTTTATAATAAGTATTATTCATTGCCGGTTGGTGGTTTGGAACATTTTTTATTTTTCCATATATTGGGAATAATCATCCCAACTGAATAATATTTTTCAGAGGGGTTCAAACCACCAACCAGATTGCTTAGATCCTTAGTTGATTGCTAAATCCTAATTGTTGATGGTGAACACCGCCGTAGTTTCCATAGCTATGTTAAATGACCAGAGGGTATCCTATGATTATTCAATTATAATCCCGTTAATGCAATCATATCCCTATTTTTATCTCTATAATTCCTATTATAATACTTATTATATATTATTACATATATATATATATATATATTATTACATATATATATATATATTATTATTTATTTTGATATCCTATTATATAGTATTATATAGTATCCTAATTATTCTTATGATATCTATTCATATCCCATTTCCCTCTGGTAATTTGTTACATAGCTATTGAACATGGCCATAGAAATAGTTGATTTACCCATTAAAATGGTGATTTTCCATAGCTTTTTGTGTGTTTACCAGAGGGTATATCCACTAACATCCCTGTTGTTTGTTGATTAAACCTCTATAATCACCATTAAATCCCATTAAACCACCATGTTGGGTTTTCCATGTCATGAGGGTTACTAAAAAGGTATAATATGGAAAAACATGATCCGACATGGCTTGAAGTCACCATCTCTCGTGCCAAGATATGAAAAAACAGGAGCCAAAGCTCGAGCTAAGCACACGGGAACTGCTGACACTTGGATGATGTGGGTTAGTTACGGTTAGTTGCGGTTATGGGTGTGAAACCATCACTGTTATTGGTTATTGGATTATTTTTTGGCTACTTAGAATAGTAAGTATTTACTAACTTGTCTTGGTTTATTCGGGATTTATACAGTATATACTTCCTTTACAGCATCATACAGCATCATACATATATATATATAGATATAACATTATATAAGGATATGTAACACATAATGGGTACCCACCAACCAACCAGTATAATGAGATCGGATAAGGGCTATAACACTTCCATGGAGAAAGTGTTGATGCTACCATTCCTCGATGCTTGGGCAACTCTGAAACCTTTGAGGAACATGATGAACAGGAAAATCAGCAGAAAGTGTCTCTGAAACTGAAAAACTGAAGATGAGTGACCTGGTTTTGAGGTTCTTTATACCCTCTGGTAAACTAACATAACTATGGAAAATCACTATTTTAAATGGGTAAATCCACTATAAATGGCCATTTTCAATAGCTATGTAACAAATTACCAGAGGGTACATACCCATCCTATCCTTGGAATCTGTCACACTGTCACAGTGTGTGGTTGAGGCCTTGTCGGAAGAGCAACTGGAGCAACTTCGGCAGAAGCACGACACCAACCAGGACGGCCGTCTCTCAACACAGGTCTTAGGAGTTGGATGGCAGAGACTATACCAAAGACCTTCAAGTCACTCAAGTTACCCATACTAGTAAACTAACAGTTTGCTATTGAACATGGCCATAGAAATGTTGATTTACCCATGGAAAAAATGTGATTTTCCGTAGTTATGTGTCAGTTTACCAGAGGGTACCCATAAAGAATATATTTACCCCGGTAATTTTATCTGTGTCACGGCTAAGACATGGCTTTGACCATCCTTTTTTGGGGAATTTTTGGGTGTAAACACACAGTATGTTTGGATTCCCATGGCATGGATGACCATGAACACACACCCTTTGAAAAAGTCAACCGTGGAAATGGAAAATCCCACGCACTAAATGGAGGTTTATCGCTGAGAAAATCGTCAAACTACCCTCTGGTTATTTAACGTAGCTATGGAAAATGGCCCATTTATAGATGTTTTTTGATGATTTACCGAATAAAAAATTTGATTCTCCATACCTACGTTAAATAACCAGAGGGTGAATTTTGGGGATTTTCCGTCAAGCCACGTTTTATGATCGGAGGGTCCATACAATGTTTTGACAAAAAAAAACGCTTTTATAACTGCATCATGATATGGTTATTATATACAGTAGGCCCTCTCAGTAGGCTATTCCTGAATTACAATAACTAGATCATATCAGTCATATCAGTCATATCATATCATTGTTACTTAAATGGTGCTAATCAAACAACTATATAACTATTTTAACTATATACCTACAATAACTATATCACTATAATAACTATGTTATTTGTTCCTTAGTCTATAATAGATATAATATTCTTATCATATTGAAACAAGTCCTGCATAATGGTGATAAAACTCGGATCACCCCGCTTCTAGATGGGATGGATTGTATGGGACGTCCCAAGAATTTTGGTAGCCATATATGTTCAATGCCATATATATATAAGCCATATAGATATAGCATATCATGTGGGATGATAAGCCATTATTCAGTGTATGATTTTGATATCAATCATCCTGGTCATAGTGTACAATAATAATCCCATGAAAATAATCATTCAAAAAAGCAGAATTTGCGTCATGTGAATGGGATATGCTACTATAACTGGTTGGTGGTTTCAAACATTTTTTGTTTTCCATGATACATGGGATAATCCTTCCCATTGGCTAATATTTCTCAAGATGGTCAAAACCACCATGTTATTGTCTTTGATTGGTACTTCTGCTGCCTTCCGTCCTCGTTTGGTTTCTCTGATTTCTTGTTTGTTGGCGATTGGAGTGTTGTTTTATTGCGGATTGACAGCGATTTACGTTCAACTGGTATGGAGGAGTGCATCATCGCATACTTGAACGTTCGAGCAGGGGTGTCGCCTTCACCAGTTGAGTACCCGCTGACGTTCTTTCAGTTGTTCCTCACTGGGGTCTCTAAAGCCACCCTGAATTCATGGGTGGTGCTGGCCTGCTCGGCCTTGTCAGCTTTTGTTACCATGACGGGCTCTTGCGTAGCCACCCGTTCAGGGCTCTCGAACAGAGTATAGCGCTTATGCACCATCTCAGCTCAGCAGCCGAGATTTACGCACGTCGGGAGGGACGTGGCGGATTGGTGGCGCGCATTTTGCATTGCGTTGTTGGCCTTGATGGCGCGTTATGTCGCAGTTTTGGCTCTGGTTCTGAGTCAGGTCTCTGGCACTCCCCTTTTTGTGGTTGAGTCCGGGAAGATTCAAACACGCTTGGTTCAAGGCTTCTTCAGAGGGGTGGTTTCTGAAAGTCGCGCTGATGGATCCTCCGTGATGCTCACTGTAATGATGAGGAATCCAGTTCTGTCTTTCACTGGTCAGTCCTGCTCTATTTGGTTTCAAACATTTGTTATTTTCCATGATATATGGGATAATCCTTCAATGTGGGGCCCCCAAGATAGCTAAGTTGGTTTATAACTACAATAACTAGGGTTTGTAGTAGTTATAACCATAGTTAGATGGGGTTATAAACCAACTTATAACGTTTGGGGGCCCCACATTGTTCCCATTGACTAATATGTTTCAAGATGGTTATTGCACCACCAGTGTATCCTGGCCAGGACAAGATGATCAACCAGGTGGGGAGCGCCAAAGCGGTTCCACAGGGGTCTTTTTTGAGGGAGGTCAATCAAGTTGACGTATGTTGAAATGCTAACATGTGTTAACATGTGTTAGCATTTGTCAATCAATTTAACATATAACCATATATATATAGATAGATAGATAGATAGATAGATGATATACATAATTATGGATATGTTTATATAACTGCAACTGAATGGAATTAATATGTGAATATATATATATATATATTATATATGTTGGAACCATCCCCAAAACTCTGTGTCAACAACTTTCTTCACCTCGCCCAAAAGGTCAGCTTCAAGTTCTTCGCCAATCAGGGTGATTGGTTGTATTTCCCCAAAAAATCGTGCTAATTGGCTACTACAGTTATGGCCATTTATTAGTTACAACTGGTTATAAATGGGATTATACATTCTATAAATGGGGTTATAAGTACTTATAACTGGTTAATCTTACATGGATACTTTAATCCTTTAGTCTTTTGGTATTAATGGGAATATCTACTAACCAGCAAAGTTTTTTTTTTGCAGGGTATCTAAGATTGGCTACTAAAACGCTTCCCCTCCAATTAAACAACCACGAGGGTGAAGAAATCCCAGAAATCCGGGCTGAGGAAGAATTTGATGCCATGGCCAGAGTCTCAGCGACACCGGGATGGTTTTTTGGCCATCCGAGCCGACTGTCGGCGGGACCCACAGTTATGTGTGTTGGTTTATGTTATCTAAGCATAGTTATATCTACCTATAATTACCACTATCTAACATATTTTACCATGTTCTATATTCTACCATAAACCATCGAATTCACCTATAGTTATAATTCCACTTAGCTATAGTTTGGGGGCCCCACATTGTACCCTTTTCTCAAGTAGCATTTCCAGCCCCTCTTTCTCAAGAGAGAAAGCGCTCTTCCAAGCCACATTACATTTGGATTGTTTGGCATGCCTCTCCTTGCAGAGAATGTGAGGCATGAACTTCTTGACAGACAATTTGTTGGTTTGCACGTAGTGAAGGATGATGCACATAGTGAGCTGGCTCAGGCATACATTTGGCCTGCTGTGATCGCTACGTTGCGAAACATGGACCTGTATCCACCTTGGATTCCTATCAAGAGGCATCCACCTCCCTTCCTTCAGACCGTAACGCTGGGTTTGGTGGCTTTGGTTTGCGGAAGTGTGAGGTTTGAAATGTCATGGTGGATCAGACCCGTCAGGAGGTATGGTGGCCAGAGTCTGCTTGGCCTACAATCGTGCAGAGCAGATCTCAAATGGTCAACTTACTGGTGCTTAGAAGGAAATTTTCGGGAATGATCCACAAGAACTATCAATCATCCCATTCCCCCATTCCCATCCATTCCCTACGTTTAGCACCAGTACATGGATGAAAATGGAGACTATGTGATCTCTCCCATGACAAGTTTGCTGCAGGGCAGATGCCATTGGACCCATAGTGGAGATCAATCTGGTTTTAGGTATGAGATTGTTCATTTTGCGGCTCGATGCTCAATACCTTTTGAACTATGGCACGAAATGTTCTTAGATGTCTTGTGTGTCTGAAAAGAGAGTACACCCGAACCAGAGGTTTAATGGGGAATGCGATGATTAACAATGAGATTTGTGTGTATTACGCGACCCACAAAAAGATAGAAATGGAAAATCCGATTCAAACAAGTGAGAATTTACAATGTGGGGCCCCCAAACGATAGCGTTCAGTTGCCTTACAAGTGGCTGAATTAACTCTGGTTTATGGTAGATATAACAAACTAGTATTCATGGGGTGAAACTAAACCAACATCACCGTTTTTTGGGGGTGTTGCTCGCCACCCTATGTTCACCCCATCATCCCAAAGCCTGATAACCATGGCTTGCCGTTGTTTTTTTTATGTATATCCAATGGATCACCGAAAGAATCCATTGTCATATCCATATCTATCCATTGTGATATCCATTGATATCCATTGTGGTATCCATTGATATCCATTGTGATATCCATTTATCATTCATCGAAGGAAGTTTAGAAGTCAAACTTCCGACAATATAGAGAGATGAAAAGCAGAGCAGGGCAGAGGCAGAGAGAAGAGAAAGATTAGAAGAGAGAAGATCAGAGAAGAGAAAGAGTCAGAAGAAAGAAGATGCAGATGCGCGAAAAGGTAGGAAAGTCGCGAAACACTGTGTTTTTCCAATGATTTGTGGCCCCGGAGGGTCGAAAAGTAG